CAGCGGTGTTGTATAACGTTGTTGTCTCTCCTGCAGTTGTTAGGAGTGAACGGGGCGGTGCTGACGGAGGCTTTAACACACAAGAAGATCATCGCTAAGGGAGAGGAGGTAGGATACACACTCTGACTGTGTGTGTGTGTGTGTGTGTGGTAAAGAACATTTCCTGTCTGTGTAATGTCTACTTCACTGTGATGATATTACAGCAGCTGAACCCTGTGTGGTCAAGTTAAACAAAAGATAGAAAGTGGCCTCGATTTCAACATTTCATTTTAATATTTCACAGCAAGTCAAGTTTATTTACGCAGCGGATTTCAACACAGCATTTTAAAGTCCTTGAGAACAGAGGAAAACCATCACAAGACATAGTGAAGCAGAAACATGTCACAAAATGACATTTAAACAGTCATTAAAAAGCCAAGAGAACACAAACAAAAAGAATCATAAGACAGGTTTAAGTCCCATCCCTTCTTTAACCATGTAGTAGCACTATGTAAATAAATATATCAACTGGCATGTCTCTATAATATTCACCTATTGAAAGCCACATGTTTACCATACTCCATCTGGGTGCTTTATATATATATGTCTTGTTCTTACGATTTCAATCCTATTCAAGCTCGATTTAAAAAGTAACCCTAAACCAGACAAGCTAAATATGATTAGAAATCTACCCGAATCTGCCCGGAAACTTTCCAATTAAAAAAGAAATGTATTCATGTATAAAAGCAGCAAGTAAAACAAGCATTTTCTGTGTGTTTTTGTTATCAGCTGATGAGCCCTCTGAACCTGGAGCAGGCGTCCTCAGCTCGCGATGCTTTGTCCAAGGCGGTGTACGGACGCACCTTCACCTGGCTGGTGAACAAGATCAACGCTTCACTGACATACACGGTACACATGCACACACACACACACACACACACACACACACACGCACACGCACACACCACACACACACACACACACACACACACACACACACACACACACACACACACACACACACACTGAGATCTGAAGGAGAGTGCTGCTCTACTGCTGTCCATCAAACTGATGTTGATTGCAGTGTTAGTACACACACACACACACACACACACACACACACACACACACACACACACACACACACACACACACACACACACACACACACACACACACACAGTACTTGACATTGTGAGGGATTACATGACACATTCCACTTCCTGTTTCCATCGTTGCTGCTGCAGTACTAATTGCCTCCCTGGGGTTAATTACATTTTAATCGATTGATTGATTGACACTCAAACAATGTGGTTCATGTAGAGGTCTCCCCTTCAATGATTTACACCACAGCTCCACCTAGTGGACATTTATGGATCTACAACTTGATGACTTACATCGACAGTATATTATTCTAGTTTAAGGTTTTTATTATTGTGTAAGTAATTCAATATAGGGTTAGACCAACATACTGGCTATACACTGGTTTATCTCGATTCATTGTAGAAGGCCTACTTAATTTATATCAACTTATTATGTCACCAAAGAAAGCTCCTTATTCTGATATGTACAGTTTATATTATTGAATGGAGCTATTAAACAATATTTAATGGGTAAATTCTGAAGGGAAATTGTATTTTTTAAAGCACATTTTATTCAATATTGATAAAAAAAAGTAGCTTCTTTATTTTGAGGCTTTACTTTCAGTAGAGTTTTCTCTTTCAAATAAATATGAATATTCGTTCTACTTTTCAACAGGACGACTCCTCAAAGCATTACTCCGTCATCGGCCTCCTCGACATCTACGGCTTCGAGGTCTTCCAGCACAACAGGTACACTTTAAGTACACTTTGTGATGTCACAATGTTTTTTTGGCTTGTGTCAGTCAAACGGAGCGTCAGACGGCAGAGGCAGATTTGTTTTTAGGGAGCTCCGACGTCATGTTGTTGTTTAAAACATATAAATATCTTGTTTTTATTTCAATTCAAATATGATTTCCTTTTAGTTTAGAGGGTACAGTATGATTTAAATTGTATTTTTTTTTTTTTTGGGTTGTGCAACCATTAGCCAATCACCAACCAAGGTGTTTTTTTAACATGCATGCTTTTGGGGAAATGTTTAATGAAAAGCAGAAATAAATAACTCCTTCTTCCCTTGTTGTTGTTTGTGTTGTTTTGCAGCTTCGAGCAGTTCTGCATCAACTACTGCAATGAGAAGCTGCAGCAGCTCTTCATCGAACTCACCCTGAAGTCTGAGCAGGAGGAGTACGAGGCCGAGGGCATCACGGTCAGTCATTTCACATAAAAGACAAAAAAGTGCAACATAATCTTTCACATAAATGCAGGAATAAGAAAAAGATATGCATGTTATTGTTTCTTTGGTGTTTTTCACAGTGAAAGTTTTAAATGATGCCTCTTAAAGATATATCACATAATAGGCTATTTCCCACTTTACAATGTACACAAATAGCTAAACCTATTGGCCTATTATACATGTATTTGAGCTGTGTAGGCTACTCACATTGTGCCAAGTGTTTCAGAGAAATGTGTAATTTGAATGAAGTAAAGGTGTGTTCCAGTCTTTTAAAGAAATTCTGAAAAAAATGTGGATATTCTGAAAAAAATCACATTTTACAAAGACAAATCAGATTTATTTTTAGTTTGTCCTTAAATCTATCACTTTATGTTATAAGTCATTATTCATTTTTACTCTTAAGTGCCGTTATATGATATCCTAGTGAAGGATTTGGGTCATGGGACGTCTGGATCTGAAGTTATCACAGAAACTCGATTAGCAAACGTTAGCGGTTAGCTTTTAGCCCTTTCGTCCCTGACAGAAAAAAGACAGATTTTTAACGTGGAACTGTTTTTATTCTGTGTTTTTAGAGGTTTTAATTGAGAAGATACGTTTGTTTTGGAGAAGATGAGACATTAGCAAATAATTTGGCTCATGGTAAAACTACTTTATTGTCTGTAGCCTATCTTAAGTGATCAGAGAAGCAAGCTGAGCTAACGTTAGCGGTTAGCATTGAACCCATTCGTCCAGTCACCACCTGAAAAACACAGATTTCTAACCTGAACTGTTTTTATTCTGTGTTTTTAGAGGTTTTACTTGAGTATGTATGTTTTTTTGGAGAAGATGATAACCCAGGGAATCATTTTGCTACCGGTAAAACCACCTGATTGTCTGAATCCTAAGTTATCTGAGAAACAAGCTGAGCTAACGTTAGCAGTTAGCCACTTTGTCCCATCCCCACCAAAAAAACACAGATGTACGTGAAACTGGTTTATTAATTGTTTTAAGAGGTTATAATCAGAGGTTGAGTTTGTTTGTGAGAGGATAAGACCCCTGAGGATAATTTGTCTGATGTAAAAAACACCTTAATATCTGTATCTTAAGTTATCAGAGAAACAAGCGTAGCTAACGTTAGCGGTTAGCTTTTAACCCCATTCGCCCAGTCCCCACCTGAAAAACACAGATTATTTACGTGAAACTGGTTTATTAATTATTTGTAGAGGTTATAATCAGGGGTTGAGTTTGTTTGTGAGAGGATGAGACCTCTGAGGATAATTTGGGTCACAATAATAACTTCCTTAAAGATTAACACTGAGGGAATCCTAACTGGGAGAAGCTGACTACCATAATTAAAGCCCCCTATTGGCAGTAGCCTATAGTACATATTTATACGCTTTATGAAATGTATGCGTTACAGCTCCACTTTCTCCTTTTCCCCATTAGTTTATTGCTAATCAGGGTTCTTACGCTCATTCAAAACCTGGACAAGTCATGGAAATTTAAAATGCTAATTCCAGGCCCTGGAAAAGTTATGGAAAACAATATTTTTCCCAAAGTTTTGGAAAAGTCATGGAAATGTAACTAAAGTTGTATCAAATATAATTTATATTTGATCTAATCGCTGAAATAGTAATACTATAATGATAATAAATACTGTATCGTATAGTAATGAAACATAAAACGGCATTTAACTGACGAGGTGTTTAGCTGGTGAGAGATTGTAGTTGCTTTAGTGTGTAGAAGCTACAGTAGTAAGCCTATTTGATTTGTTTTAGATAGGCACAACATGTTTCATATGCAGACCTTATTTTCCTGTTCCATGTTAAAATAAACCATTTTCAGTGGTACTGCTGAGAAAGAGTAATTTTTTTGGTCATGGAAAATGAGTTAAAGGTCATGGAAAAGTCATTGAAAATCATTTGTGAACAAGTGTATGAACCCTGGCTAATATATTGTTTAGTTTTTTCATTGGAACAAGAGCTTCTTGTGTTCACTCTGATATAAATGTGGGAGAAACTCAAAGAGCCCATTATGATGTGGCTTCAGGGCCGTGGGCTGAAATAATGTGTCTGTTTTATGTGTTTAATGTGCATTTAACATAAACTCAGTCTGCATGTGTATCTCTAAGTTCATGTGTGAGTGCGCATGTAAGTGGGTGAGGATCAGGATTCCTGGGATTCTGCACATCATGAACGTCTCGGTCATTAAATATCTTAAACAGTTGTAATTGTAGGAGGTTTGGACTGAGATTGATGTCCCAGATGTTGTTGTTGTTGTTTAAATTGAACTATCGGTAACTGTTTGTGAATTATTTTGTAGGCTGGAAGGAAAGTTGCATATCAACACAAGGCATAGTTCAACAGAAACACTTTTTTTAATGACATTTAAATACATCAAGAATAGTCATTACAGCACAAATGGTTAAAGACAGGAAGAAGTAGATTTTGAAGTGAATAGGTGACCTTATTGACAGCCTGTGATACTGTTATTTTAACTTTCTTGTGTGTGTGTGTGTGTGCAGTGGGAGCCAGTGCAGTACTTCAACAACAAGATCATCTGTGACCTGGTGGAGGAGAAGTTCAAAGGCATCATCTCCATCCTGGTGAGGAGGATTTTCAAAATATGACTTCATCTCAGAATCCAACTGGCGGACACATTTAGAAAACGATTGTCCAAATGATTCACATAAACACAACAGAAGTTGATATAAATGATACGAGCACTAATACCTGGGAGTGTTTCTGGTTTGGTGAAACACTGACTGATTGTTTTTTATTTTTCTTCCCTCTCAGGATGAAGAGTGTCTGAGACCCGGAGATGCCAACGACCTCACCTTCCTGGAGAAGCTGGAGGACACCGTGGGAGGACACGCTCACTTTGTCACGTGAGTTTATTTCCTCAAATAAGAAGAGAAATATTGAATTATTGTCGTGTGTGTGTGTGTTACGGCCCGTCCACACTACAGCTTCGACAGCTTCAAAAACGGTTTCCAACGCGTCTGCCCATTCACTTTGAATGGCGTGACGTCACTTTTCGCCGAACTGCATTGTGGGAAGCAGAGCGGAGCTTTCCTGGCGTTTCAGGCTGCAAAAGTTGAGCAATGTTCAACTTTTGAAGCTTCTGAAGCTTTCGGTGGAAGCGTCAGCCAATCAAATCATATGCCAGTACAAGCTCTAGCCAATCAAACCGCTGCTTGTGTGTCAGGGGCGGGAGATTCATGTGATTGGTTGTTGGTCGAGCTTCAGACACGCCCAGCTCCAAGCTTTTTTTGAAGCTGTAGTGTGGACGGGCCGTTACCCTGCTCGCAATACGAAAAGGAGTCTGCATTGCTGCATTTACAGCATCATTGTCTAAAAAAGATGTATTTGTGAAATGTTATTAGCACTTAGAATAAGAAATAATAAGTGCATAAAATGTATTTGTGTTGGAAATTCTCTTTTTTGTAATCTACCAGCAGCTAAAACTTGTTGATCTTTGGGTGGAAATGGGGGGCAGATTTAGGGGCATCCTGAGATTTCCTTGCGTTCCTTTGCCCTCCCCCTTTGTTTCTGTAACTGTACATACTCACCTGTAGCCAATAGGAAAACAATTATATTACCTTATCTTATTTTTTGCAGATTTACCCGTATATATAAGCATATACTCATCTCAGTGTAAAAATGATATTTGTGTCCTCGTTTAATTCTAGCTATTGCTGTTTTTAGCGACTGCAATGGCAGAAATAAACCCAGATAAGAACATATTGATTATTTTCTCCATTCACTAATATTATATTTTAACTGTACTATGTATTATGTTATCGACCTGTACTTAAATCATGTTTTACAAGTGTTTGTGTGATAGAGACTATGCAATGTTGTTCGTGTGTGTTGATTGTGATGTACCTACGTAAGGACTGCAGATGGAAATTAGCTATTAGCTCAAATCTGGCATAATACAAATGTATTTGTATGCATGGTCCTTGTTGAAATAAATACATAATAATAATGTTTCCCTGCAGGCACAAGCTGGCGGATACAAAGACCCGGAAGGTGATGGCCCGAGACGAGTTCAGACTGCTGCATTACGCCGGAGAGGTCAACTACAACGTCAACGGTACGAGTGTTTGCTGAAGACAACGTCGATATTTCAATTGTCCTTCTTCTTTTTGCAACTGCTGACAAAACAGATGAAGCCTAAATCTAATGTGCGTGTGTTTGTTCTCTCACTCAGGATTTCTGGACAAGAACAACGACCTGCTCTTCAGGAACCTGAAAGAGGTGAGGACGGGTTAGATGAAGATGATCAGTTTGAAGGATTCAAAGACGAATCTGTGGTTGAAACGTGTGGCTGTTTGCAGGTGATGTGCATGTCGGAGAACAAGATCCTGACCAAGTGTTTCGACAGAGAGGAGCTGAGTGACAAGAAACGTCCGGAAACGGTGAGATAGTGTTGCATTGGAAGTGGAAATATGATGAATACAATCAACAGGGATTTGGACGCTTGTTGTAACTTCAGTGAAGCACTGCCAGAGTTCACTGTTCATCGCCGTAAAGCAAACTTCATTCAAACCCATCGTCCTTTTTAGTCTTTCCAACAATCAACAACTCTGGTTTGAGAGTTTAAAAAGTGAGTAAATAAGTAACTTGATGGGAGTTTGCTAACCCTTGCATTCGGCTACTTAGCAGACTCAGTTTAAGATATGTACAACATGTTAGAAGCCCTTAAAATAGAAATGAGTAAATCAGTTCACATCAAATTAATTTATATAAGTTAGGCTTGAATCTATGTTTTGTAATCTACCCGCAACTCTTTAAATATAGTTGTTTTTTTTGCATGAATTGGCCTAAACAAGTAAATATAAACTAGGGATGGGAATTTGAAAGCAAATGTATACTCGAATATTCGACCCCCAAATAAACGGTTAATCGATTAACCGAAATGTACATATCCTATAAAATAAATAATTACACATTCAAATAAATATAGAAACCAAGTCGAATTTGTCAAATGTATTGAACTGGTGATCACAGTTTGAACAGTTGACAGCTACAGCTTTCGTGCTTAAAACATAACTTGGTTTTTAAATGAAAGAGGGATCAAACACGAACAACATAACGGGTCAGGGTAACGTAACCCGTGACAACAGAGATCAACAACCTGTAGCAGGGCTATGCACAGAATGCAGCTATTCAATACTCATTCTTGTTTAACAATATGAGCATGTCTACTCAGGGGAGAGGCGATTCACAATCAGGCCAGCTGTAGAGAAGACCCTCTCAGCTGGGATTTGGGCTTAAGATAGGCTTGAATCTATGTTTTGTAATCTACCCGCAACTCTTAAATTATAGTTATTTTTTTGCATGTATTGGCCTAAACATGTAAATATATACCCCAAATTATAATCTATATTTCGGCATGCAGAGACTTTTAGATGAGAGTAAAGCTAACGTCCGTCCCGTGCTAAATTATGGCTTCGTCCACTTTCTGATACATACTCATACTTGCAAATGGAAACATCGTCTATCGCATATTTTAAATGGGTTTTCCTGCTTTAAAAAAACCCTGCACCTGCTGGGAAACATTGCCCCCACAGAACCATTGTTTTATTGAACTGAACTGGTAAGAATGTCAAGAATGACTCAAAACCCTGGGGGTGTTTGTCCTCTCAAAGACAGCTCTTAGTGGCATGTTTACCGCCCCTTAATTCCTGTCACTGAACATACTCATCTATCGACAATTGTCAAAGAAGCGGCTATTTGTAGTGTTTAAAAGCCAGCATATAGTTGCTTATTTCAATGGGTTTTCCTCCTGCACCTGCTGGGAATATTGCCCTCACAATACCGTTGTTTTTGTTGCCATTATTCGAGTAAACTGGTAAGAATTTCAAGAATTATTCAAAATCACGGGGGTGTTTTTTCCCCTCAAATACAGCTTTCATTAGCAAATTGCCTCTTAATGTCTGTCACTGAACATACCCATCTATAGGTACTTGACAAAGACGTCTATCTGCTATTTGTAGTGTTTAAAAACCAGCCTATATTAGCTTATTTAAGTAAATATAGTGTTTGTGTTCTGAGGTTTTCCACTTTTCTTATTACACATATTTTCCCACAGACAAACAAACAGCGTTGTGTTTCCCTCTCCGTGTTGAGAGGCGTCATGACGGGGATTCTCTGTCCCACACCCGAGGAATGCCCTGACACACACACACACACACACACACACACACACACACACACACACACACACACACACACACACACACACACACACACACACACACACTCTTGAACAGCGCCCAGTGTTCAGCTCCTCTCTTCTTCAGTGTGTCTCTCTACAGGATTCATCGCTCTTCTCCTCTCCGTATCTTCTTATCCTCGGTCACTAACCAGTATCCTTCTCTCTTCCTCACCTCCTCACCACCTCACCTCTCTTTCTCATCTCTTCTGTCTGCCTCTCAGGCGGCCACTCAGTTCAAAGCAAGCCTGGCGAAACTGATGGAGATCCTGATGTCGAAGGAGCCGTCGTACGTCCGCTGCATCAAGCCCAATGACTCCAAGCAGTCAGGTAGGAAGTCACGCCTTTTACACGTATGTTCCCTTAGCAAATCCTCACCCAACTACTCAAGGGTCTGATCAATAGTCCAGTGTTGGTCATGTATGATCTCTTGTTCTTGTTCTCTTGCGATATCCCTTAAGGCTTTTATTAAGTGTATCTGTGCCTGCAGATGAGGTGATTTTGCCCCAGCACAAATGTGTCAAAATGAAGCTAAAAAGTGAGGAGTTTTTCTTATGGTACTACACGTAGTTTTTGCACACATTGCTGTATTGTTTAGATATAATATACAATGCCTTTGGCTGGTTGTTGTTCTCCATTTTGTAATGTATGAACTCTTAACAAGTTGAAAATCAAAGACAGGCACACATAAGCAGAGTGACGCCTGGAGGATACTGATATTAAAAGGGTTGTTGGACATCATTTAGTCCATGTTCCTGTCATTATATCATAGCAATCAATATTAAGCTTTACACATGTATGTATAATATATACACATGTGTTACATCCTTTAGTTAAGGCAAATAATTGGTTAAAAAAAAAAAAAATTATTTATTAAATCATCCGTTAGAGCAGTGGTTCTCAACCTTTTTTCCCAAGAGCCCCCCCAAATGACTCCTGTTGGATGTTGCGCCCCCCCCCTGTGTGTGTGTGTGTGTGTGGGGGGGGGGGGGGGGGGCGCAACAGCGGTAATTAAAGTTTAAAAGTCTCAAAATGCTACAACTTCTGTCACAAACTGGATGAATGTGAAGTATTGTGTTAAAGGAGGATGAAAGCGTAATCAAGGAGCACTGTTGGAGCGACTTTGATGGTTATTGGACTCAGGATTCATTCATTTGGATTCCCGCTGTATGAAGAAATTAAAGGACGGCGCAGAAGTGGAAACAATTCACAAAGGGATGAAACTGTTTAAAACACATGCTCAAAGTAAGGATTTTGCCGATGTGTTTACGTGGATTCAAAAGTCGTAAATAATCTACAAAATGGAGGAGACCGATCTGATCGGAGCAACTGACAAATAATCCAACTGAACCCGGCATGGACAATGACTGTGTTTTAAAAATGCGCTTATCCAGAAAAGCCTGGTTTGGACACTTTACGGGCAGAAGAAACATTTCTATAGAAAGAATTATACATTTCTGTCTTTTTATGCCTTTAATACTAACTTGAATTCTTATTCAAATTAATTAATCAATTATTTTGTATATGTTATTGTAATGTGGAGACAAGGCTTTTAGTGACAATCATGTATTGCCTTACAATTATATGTAAAAAAAAAAAAAAAGTCTAAATATGATATTTGGCCTCAAATCATCTGAGGCCTGGCGCCCTGCGATCTTTGGCGCCCCCCCTGCGATCTTTGGCGCCCCCCCTGCGATCTTTGGCGCCCCCCCTGCGATCTTTGGTGCCCCCCCAAGGTTGGGAACCACTGCTTTAGAGGCCTAATGCCCTCATCTTCTCCGATCCAATTTGACTTGACAAATCTGAGCTACTTAAATGTATTTTTATTGCATTATTTTGATCTAGATTTGTACAAAATAACCCTTAAAGTCGAGCTGTTGCTGCATAAGAAACGAATGTTTGTGATTTTCGTCATTATTATGGTTTGAAGCCAGTTATTATGCAACCGTTCGTATGAACACGCCGTAGCTTAAGAAGCTCATTGTTCCCAGAAACACCTCGATAATCCTGCTTTCACTGAATCCAAGTGTGTGTGTGTGTGTGTGTGTGTGTGTGTGTGTGTGTGTGTGTGTGTGTGTGTGTGTGTGTGTGTGTGTGTGTGTGTGTGTGTGTGTGTGTGTGTGTGTGTGTGTGTGTGTGTGTGTGTGTGTGTGTGTGTGTGTGTGGTGTGTGTGTGTGTGTGTGTGTGTGTGTGTGTGTGTGTGTGTGTGTGTGTGTGTGTGTGTGTGTGTGTGTGTGTGTGTGTGTGTGTGTGTGTGTGTGTGTGTGTGTGTGTGTGTGTGTGTGTGTGTGTCAGTTCATTGTTGCTCTCCACAGTCGGCCTTTTGTTGTCCTCCTGCTCTGCTGCAGTGTTTTCTGGTTTTCTCCGGTTCATGTTAGTCCAGCAGATTTGACGCCTCTTTTTAGATTTGGGAGAAATATGATTAGAAATGGCGTTTCCTCAGCTCTAACTTTGACTTTTCAATACCGTGAATCCCCAGGTATGTGGGTGTACTCAGGATCCTGGATTAGTAGATTACACTTTAACATTGTTTTAAATACGACTGTAAACTAAGTTATTAATAACGTATCTTAACATTAGCACTTGAATTGTTTAACCAACATGTTTTTTAAAGATATCACAAAGTTACTCTTCCCTCATCAGTAGTGGGAAGTAACTAAGTACATTTACTCAAGTACTGTACTGAAGTAAAATGTTGAGGTACTTGTACTTCACTTGTAAGTACAAGATCTGAATACTTCTACTTTTACTCAAGTACAAGATCTGAGTACTTCTACTTTTACTCAAGTACAGGATCTGAGTACTTCTACTTTTACTCAAGTACAAGATCTGAGTACTTCTACTTTACTCAAGTACAAGATCTGAGTACTTCTACTTTTACTCAAGTACAAGATCTGAGTACTTCTACTTTTACTCAAGAACAAGATCTGAGTACTTCTACTTTTACTCAAGTACAAGATCTGAGTACTTCTACTTTACTCAAGAACAAGATCTGAGTACTTCTACTTTTACTCAAGTACAAGATCTGAGTACTTCTACTTTTACTCAAGTACAGGATCTGAGTACTTCTACTTTTACTCAAGTACAAGATCTGAGTACTTCTACTTTTACTCAAGTACAAGATCTGAGTACTTCTACTTTTACTCAAGTACAAGATCTGAGTACTTCTACTTTTACTCAAGTACAAGATCTGAGTACTTCTACTTTTACTCAAGTACAATATCTGAGTACTTTACTTTTACTCAAGTACAAAATCGTAGTACTTTACTTTTACTCAAGTACAGGATCTGAGTACTTCTACTTTTACTAAAGTACAGGATCTGAGTACTTCTACTTTAACTAAAGTACAAGATCTGAGTACTTCTACTTTTACTCAAGTACAAGATCTGAGTACTTTACTTTTACTCAAGTACAAAATCTGAGTACTTTACTTTTACTCAAGTACAAGATCTGAGTACTTCTACTTTTACTTAAGAACAAGATCTGAGTACTTCTACTTTTACTCAAGTACAAGATCTGAGTACTTCTACTTTTACTCAAGTACAAGATCTGAGTACTTCTACTTTTACTCAAGTACAGGATCTGAGTACTTCTACTTTTACTCAAGTACAAGATCTGAGTACTTCTACTTTTACTCAAGTACAATATCTGAGTACTTTACTTTTACTCAAGTACAAAATCTGAGTACTTTACTTTTACTCAAGTACAGGATCTGAGTACTTCTACTTTAACTAAAGTACAGGATCTGAGTACTTCTACTTTTACTCAAGTACAAGATCTGAGTACTTCTACTTTTACTCAAGTACAAGATCTGAGTACTTCTACTTTTACTCAAGTACAAAATCTGAGTACTTTACTTTTACTCAAGTACAAGATCTGAGTACTTCTACTTTTACTTAAGAACAAGATCTGAGTACTTCTACTTTTACTCAAGTACAAGATCTGAGTACTTCTACTTTTACTCAAGTACAAGATCTGAGTACTTCTACTTTTACTCAAGTACAGGATCTGAGTACTTCTACTTTTACTCAAGTACAAGATCTGAGTACTTCTACTTTTACTCAAGTACAATATCTGAGTACTTTACTTTACTCAAGTACAAGATCTGAGTACTTCTTACTTTACTCAAGTACAAGATCTGAGTACTTCTACTTTTACTCAAGTACAAGATCTGAGTACTTTACTTTTACTCAAGTACAAAATCTGAGTACTTTACTTTTACTCAAGTACAGGATCCTGAGTACTTCTACTTAACTAAAGTACAGGATCTGGTAACTTCTACTTAACTAAAGTCCAGGATCTGAGTACTTCTACTTTAACTAAAGTCCAGGATCTGAGTACTTCTACTTTAACTAAAGTCCAGGATCTGAGTACTTCTACTTTAACTAAAGTCCAGGATCTGAGTACTTCTACTTTAACTAAAGTCCAGGATCTGAGTACTTCTACTTTAACTAAAGTACAGGATCTGAGTACTTCTACTTTACTAAAGTACAGGATCTGAGTACTTCTACTTTACTAAAGTACAGGATCTGAGTACTTCTACTTTTACTAAAGTACAGGATCTGAGTACTTCTACTTTGACTAAAGTACAGGATCTGAGTACCCCCCCTCTGCGCCTCATTATCTCACAGCCTGTTTCCCTCTGTTTGCTTCAGGGCGGTTTGACGATGTTCTGATCCGGCACCAGGTGAAGTATCTGGGTCTGATGGAGAACCTGAGGGTGAGGAGAGCCGGCTTCGCCTACAGGCGGCGCTACGAGGTCTTCCTCCAGAGGTACATGTATTATTTTAACCACTTAAGGTCAGGACACCCCAATCACACATAAAACAAACTTCTGGTTCACATCTTCGAATCGCACATTACAAAGACTGCAGAAAACTTGGGAAGGAAATCAGAAATACTTAAGATATATGAAAATATGATAAGAAAATATGTCCAAAGTACCTCTTTATACCAGCAGGGGGCGGTCCCTCATTTAAAAAGGGAAAGCAGAACAGGCATCTATAGTATTACAATGGCTCCCCTTTCTTCACAAACATACGATTAACCAATTGTAAAAGTCCGGACATATGTAAGTGTCTCCATTCATAACGGCCTATCAAATCCCACTGAGGCTAAACAAGCAGATTTTAATTGAATGAACCAATAAAGCCTGTGTTTGTTTATAAATAGTCTTTATTGTGCTTTATGTAATCTAAGGATATGTAGGTCCAAAGCTGAGAGGGAGTCTCTGTGTTGTAGTGACTTGTATAATGTTATTTATATAAGTCTATTGACAGGACTTGTTTTATTGACTATTTTTCCATTGAATACAATCTATATGCCTCAATGATGACACTATGTTTATAGTCTCCAAGTTTAATAAAACACAGATAATATTTGGCTAGAATTTCTACCATAAGTCTGGGATGTTGAAATCTGCGCAGCCACTTTGATGCCACTACTTTTTCTAACAGAAACTCTGGTGTGTGTGTGTGTGTGTGTGTGTGTGTGTGTGTGTGTGTGTGTGTGTGTGTGTGTGTGTGTGTGTGTGTGTGTGTGTGTGTGTGTGTGTGTGTGTGTGTGTGTGTGTGTGTGTGTGTGTGTGTGTGTGTGTGTGTGTGTGTGTGTGTGTGTGTGTGTGTGTGTGTGTGTGTGTGTGTGTGTGTGTGTGTGTGTGTGTGTGTGTGTGTGTGTGTGTGTGTGTGTGTGTGTGTGTGTGTGTGTTCAGGTATAAGTCCCTGTGTCCGGACACATGGCCGAGCTGGCAGGGGAAGCTTCCTGAAGGCGTGGCGACGCTGGTGAAACATCTGGGATACAAACCTGAGGAGTACAAAATGGGGAGGTAATACATTCAAGGGTTCAAGGCTTTTACTGTCAGAGCTAACGCGTATTAAAATCTGAGGCCACAGGCTCCTCCAACAGAGCAACACAATAACACGGATAAATAGTGCAAGTAAATAGAATAGAATTAGTGCAAGAAGAGTCTATATACAAGTAATTGGGATATGATATATTAGATACATCATTTGTAATTTGCAGCCAGATGAATGTTATGGATGTTCTTTCAAAAGCTCAGGTGTTTAGCAGTCTGATGGCCTGAGGGATGAGACTGTCTTTGAGTCTGGTGGTTTTAGACCAATCAAAAGCATCATGTCATGTTCAACCTTTTCCTTCTTAAACATGCATTTTGTTTCATTGTATGCATCATTATCCCTGTGCTTCTTTTTGTCCCTGAGCTGCACTTTTAAAACGCTTTTAATTGTTTTACTTTTAGATCCAAAATCTTCATCCGCTTCCCGAAGACGTTGTTTGCCACTGAAGACGCTCTGGAGACCAGGAAGCACAGTCTGGGTGAGAGACTCTAAACATTTGTTACCTTTTAATTATTTGATCAACTCCTGCATCGACATGTAGAACTGCAGACATCCTGACGGCAACGAAGCCATTGATTTCACAAACGTTAAAAAAGGACACAGATAAGAAACAAGGCAAGTTTATGTGTATTATTTTGATTATAACAGATTTCAGCAACAAGGCCATTTAAAAGTGCTTTACACAAACCTTTAAAAGCATTATAGTGCAAAATAAATGTAATCACATTAAAAAGCCTACAGAACAAAATAAAACAAGTTAAAATGTTACAGTCTAACGCACATGTGTCAAACTCGAGGCCCGGGGGCCAAATCAGGCCGTTGGTGGATTTAATTTCGGCCCTCAGGATAATATCTAATCACTATTAGATCTGGCCCGCCGGTATATTGCACGCACACCTTCACTCCATCCTGAGGGTCTCCTCCGCTCAGAGCCTGAGCCCAAACATTGATGACCTTGCACCCGAGATGAGATGCCAAGTATCTGAGCTAGCATCACAGAGCAGCACACTGAGTTTAATGGATGTTTCCTTCTGCACTTTCTCTCACGACAACAGGGCATGTTTGGTTTTCTCTTTGAGGGAAATAGTTTTGTTGAAGCTGTTGTTGGCCTGTGGGGAAATGTACTCATAAGAAATGACTCTAAGCTGCAGATAGAGCCATAAGAAATGAATGCAACTGATTATTTAATGTTGTTTTATAGGCAATCATTGAAGCTTTGTTAGTTCCAGGTTTAATATGTGCAATAAGTTCATGTCAATACGTTCTGTAATAAACATTGAACCAGTCCGGCCCTCCACTAGCACCCACTGTGTGATTGAGTTTGACCCCCTGGTCTAACGGGACAGCATGTCAAAAATAACAATCATAAAAAGGTTATTAGATCAAAAATAATGACGACAAGTAGGACAAAAAAGAATCCAAATTAAATAGAGGGTGTACTCTTTTTTTTATTTCTTATGATTTTGCTGGCAAAATAAGCAGAAAGTGTGATCTGCTTGGGTTTGAATGCTTTTCAGTTGATCTCTGCAGGATGCTTTTGGCATTGGTATGGCCACAGATTTAAACCGTGTCTCCTTCTCCCCTCAGCCACCAAGCTGCAGGCCGGATGGAGAGGATACAGCCAGAAGACCAAGTTCCAGAAGCTCAGAACCTCAGGTGAGGAGACTCCCCCTCCTTCAGTGGGATTATTCACCTTTTGCTTTTCCGCTAATGTCCTCATAGAGTGTGTTTACCTGAGTTCAGAGTGTGTTTACCTGAGTTTAGAGTGTGTTTACCTGAGTTCAGAGTGTGTTTACCTGAGTTTAGAGTGTGTTTACCTGAGTTTAGAGTGTGTTTACCTGAGTTCAGAGTGTGTTACCTGAGTTTAGAGTGTGTTTACCTGAGTTTAGAGTGTGTTTACCTGAGTTCAGAGTGTGTTTACCTGAGTTTAGAGTGTGTTTACCTGAGTTCAGAGTGTGTTTACCTGAGTTCAGAGTGTGTTTACCTGAGTTCAGAGTGTGTTTACCTGAGTTCAGAGTGTGTTTACCTGAGTTCAGAGTGTGTTTACCTGAGTTCAGAGTGTGTTTACCTGAGTTCAGAGTGTGTTTACCTGAGTTTAGAGTGTGTTTACCTGAGTTCAGAGTGTGTTTACCTGAGTTCAGAGTGTGTTTACCTGAGTTCAGAGTGTGTTTACCTGAGTTTAGAGTGTGTTTACCTGAGTTCAGAGTGTGTTTACCTGAGTTTAGAGTATGTTTACCTGAGTTTAGAGTGTGTTTACCTGAGTTCAGAGTGTGTTTACCTGAGTTTAGAGTAGTGTGTTTACCTGAGTTTAGAGTGTGTTTTACCTGAGTTAGAGTATGTTTATACCTGAGTTTAGAGTGTGTTTACCTGAGTTTAGAGTGTGTTTACCTGAGTTCAGAGTGGTGTTTACCTGAGTTAGAGTGTGTTTACCTAGTTAGAGTTCAGAGTGTGTTATTACCTGAGTTTAGAGTGTGTTTACCTGAGTTCAGAGTTGTGTTTACCTGAGTTCAGAGTGTGTGTTTACCTGAGGTTAGAGTGTGTTTACCTGAGTTTAGAGTGTGTTTACCTGAGTTTCAGAGTGTGTTTACCTAGTTTAGAGTGTGTTTATACCTGGAGGTTAGAGTGTGTTTACCTGAGTTCAGAGTGTGTGTTTACCTGAGTTTAGAGTGTGTTTACCTGAGTTCAGAGTGTGTTTACCTGAGTTTAGAGTATGTTTACCTGAGTTTAGAGTGTGTTTACCTGAGTTCAGAGTGTGTTTACCTGAGTTTAGAGTGTGTTTACCTGAGTTTAGAGGTGTGTTTTACCTGAGTTTAGAGTATGTTTACCTGAGTTAGAAGTGTGTTTACCTGAGTTCAGAGTGTTGTTTACCTGAGTTTAGAGTGTGTTTACCTGAGTTTAGAGTGTGTTTACCTGAGTTCAGAGTGTGTTTACCTGAGTTCAGAGTGTGTTTACCTGAGTTTAGAGTGTGTTTACCTGAGTTTAGAGTATGTTTAAACCTGAGTTTAGAGTGTGTTTACCTGAGTTCAGAGTGTGTTTACCTGAGTTCAGAGTGTGCTTTACCTGAGTTCAGAGTGTGTTTACCTGAGTTCAGAGTGTGGTTTACCTGAGTTTTAGAAGTCGTGTTTACCTGAGTTCAGAGTGTGTTTACCTGAGTTTAGAGTGTGTTTACCTGAGTTCAGAGTGTGTGTTTACCTAAGTTTAGAGTGTGTTTACCTGAGTTTTCAGAGGTGTGTTTACCTGAGTTCTAGAGAGTGTGTTTACCTGAGTTCAGAGTGTGTTTACCTAAGTTTAGAGTGTGTTTACCTGAGTTCAGAGTGTGTTTACCTGAGTTTAGAGTGTGTTTACCTGAGTTCAGAGTGTGTTTTACTGAGTTCAGAGTGTGTTTACCTGAGTTCAGAGTGTGTTACCTGAGTTCAGAAGTGTGTTTACCTGAGTTTAGAGTGTATTACCTGAGTTCAGAGTGTGTTTACCTGAGTTCAGAGTGTGTTTACCTGAGTTCAGAAGTGTGTTTACCTGAGTTTCAGAGTGTGTTTACCTGAGTTCAGAAGTGTGTTTACCTGAGTAGTTCAGAGTGTGTTTACCTGAGTTCAGAGTGTGTTTACCTGAGTTCAGAGTGTGTTTACCTGAGTTTAGAGTGTGTTTACCTGAGTTCAGAGTGTGTTTACCTGAGTTCAGAGTGTGTTTACCTGAGTGTGTTTACCTGAGTTCAGAGTGTGTTTACCTGAGTGTGTTTACCTGAGTTCAGAGTGTGTTTACCTGAGTTCAGAGTGTGTTTACCTGAGTTCAGAGTGGTGTTTACCTGAGTTCAGAGTGTGTTTACCTGAGTTTCAGAGTGTGTTTTACCTGAGTTTAGAGTGTGTTTACCTGAGTTCAGAGTGTGTTTACCTGAGTTTAGAGTGTGTTTACCTGAGTGTGTTTACCTGAGTTCAGAGTGTGTTTACCTGAGTTCAGAGTGTGTTTACCTGAGTTTAGAGTGTGTTTACCTGAGTTCAGAGTGTGTTTACCTGAGTTTAGAGTGTGTTTACCTGAGTTCAGAGTGTGTTTACCTGAGTTGAGAGTGTGTTTACCTGAGTTTAGAGTGTGTTTACCTGAGTTCAGAGTGTGTTTACCTGAGTTCAGAGTGTGTTCACCTGAGTTCAGAGTGTGTTTACCTGAGTTCAGAGTGTGTTTACCTGAGTTCAGAGTGTGTTTACCTGAGTTCAGAGTGTGTTTACCTGAGTTCAGAGTGTGTTCACCTGAGTTCAGAGTGTGTTTACCTGAGTTTAGAGTGTGTTTACCTGAGTTTAGAGTGTGTTTACCTGAGTTCAGAGTGTGTTTACCTGAGTTCAGAGTGTGTTCACCTGAGTTCAGAGTGTGTTTACCTGAGTTTAGAGTGTGTTTACCTGAGTTCAGAGTGTGTTTACCTGAGTTCAGAGTGTGTTTACCTGAGTTTAGAGTGTGTTTACCTGAGTTCAGAGTGTGTTTACCTGAGTTCAGAGTGTGTTTACCTGAGTTTAGAGTGTGTTTACCTGAGTTCAGAGTGTGTTTACCTGAGTTCAGAGTGTGTTTACCTGAGTTCAGAGTGTGTTCACCTGAGTTCAGAGTGTGTTTACCTGAGTTCAGAGTGTGTTTACCTGAGTTCAGAGTGTGTTCACCTGAGTTCAGAGTGTGTTTACCTGAGTTCAGAGTGTGTTTACCTGAGTTCAGAGTGTGTTTACCTGAGTTCAGAGTGTGTTTACCTGAGTTCAGAGTGTGTTTACCTGAGTTCAGAGTGTGTTTACCTGAGTTTAGAGTGTGTTTACCTGAGTTCAGAGTGTGTTTACCTGAGTTCAGAGTGTGTTTACCTGAGTTAGAGTGTGGTTTACCTGAGTTTAGAGTGTGTTTACCTGAGTTCAGAGTTGTGTTTACCTGAGTTCAGAGTGTGTTTACCTGAGTTCAGAGTGTGTTTACCTGAGTTCAGAGTGTGTTTACCTGAGTTCAGAGTGTGTTTACCTGAGTTCAGAGTGTGTTTACCTGAGTTCAGAGTGTGTTTACCTGAGTTCAGAGTGTGTTTACCTGAGTTCAGAGTGTGTTTACCTGAGTTTAGAGTGTGTTTACCTGAGTTTAGAGTGTGTTTACCTGAGTTTAGAGTGTGTTTACCTGAGTTCAGAGTGTGTTTACCTGAGTTCAGAGTGTGTTTACCTGAGTTCAGAGTGTGTTTACCTGAGTTTAGAGTGTGTTTACCTGAGTTCAGAGTGTGTTTACCTGAGTTCAGAGTGTGGTTTACCTGAGTTCAGAGTGTGTTTACCTGAGTTCAGAGTGTGTTTACCTGAGTTTAGAGTGTGTTTACCTGAGTTCAGAGTGTGTTTACCTGAGTTTAGAGTGTGTTTACCTGAGTTCAGAGTGTGTTTACCTGAGTTCAGAGTGTGTTTACCTGAGTTTAGAGTGTGTTTACCTGAGTTCAGAGTGTGTTTACCTGAGTGTGTTTACCTGAGTTCAGAGTGTGTTTACCTGAGTTAGAGTGTGTTTACCTGAGTTTAGAGTGTGTTTACCTGAGTTCAGAGTGTGTTTACCTGAGTTTAGAGTGTGTTTACCTGAGTTCAGAGTGTGTTTACCTGAGTTTAGAGTGTGTTTACCTGAGTTCAGAGTGTGTTTACCTGAGTTTAGAGTGTGTTTACCTGAGTTCAGAGTGT